GGAGCTCTTCCCACTCCCAGGAGCTCTCGGGGAGCTCTTCCCACCCCCAGGAGCTCTCAGGGAGCTGTTCCCAGGCCACTCACCCCCGGAGAGCATGAAGAGGTTCTCGAAGCCCCTCTCACACATGGTGGTGGCTGCCTGGCTGGCCAAGCGCTCGTCGTTGTCGTACACGATGATGATCTTCCCGTGGGCGTTTTTCTGGGAATGGCTAAGGAAGGAGGCACTGCTGGACTCGAGGGGCACAGCAACACGTTTTGGGAAGTAAAAATGGGGTTAAAAAAAAAAAAAAAAAGGGACCAAAAAATGGGATTTGGGACTGAGGGACTCCACGACTTGCAAACGTCGTTCATCGTCCCTGCCTGAGGAACGATGGAGGAGGAATTCAGGCTTTTCCTGATGAATTCCCAGTGGTTGGGACTTGAATCCCCACGGGATTCAGTGTTTAGAGGTTGGTTGGTGACAGGGAACAGCAAGAAGCACCTTTGTTTACCACCCCCCCCCTCACAACAGCCAACAACTGGGAATGATCAGCCTAATCCAGCCTCCTAATCCTCTTTTTCTGCCCTCAATCCCCATCAAGGTGCTGACAGGAAGCCAAAGGATTTGATGGATCTATCCCTGCAGCAGCAGGAGAGCGGTGCCCACGGAGGGCTTTGCCTTCCAGCAGCCCAAATCCCAAGAAATGCCAAATCCAGCTCCCTCTGGAGCCAGGAGGAACCTCGAGGAATTGGAATCCAGCAGCGGAGCCGCCCCAGGTGATCCCAGGATCTCCTGTCCCACCTTCCTCGGGATTCCCAATTTTGCTTGGCTAAGATCCAGCTGGTTTTGGGAGCCCCTTCCCACCAACATCCCTCTCATTTTTTTCCCTGTGCCAGCATTTTCCACAGAAAGGATACATATTCCAGAATACTGTTTGTGTATGGATTCATGGTCCTGGACAGCGTGGCAATAGGGTAGGAATAAGCTGCAGGAGAGGGGAATAAAAAGAGGGATAAATCATCCAACAGCTGGGATACAACAGGGATTTATTGGAGTCCTACAGCCTTGGGAACCCAGGGAATAAGGGATTAAATGAGCTCAGTCCTGGGTGGATTGGATGTCCCAAAGGTGTCCCACCAGGCAGAGCTGACTGTGGAGTTGTGTCCCCTCACCTCCCACGATGTGACACTGGTCGTAGGCGTCCCGATCCCGCACGTCCAGGAGCAGGAAGGGACAGTCTGGATAGGGCAGGTCCTTGGCCTGGGTGTCCTCCTTCTTCGGGGAGTCCTTCTCGATGTCCATCTCCCCAACCCCGCTGATCACGCTGGGGAAGGGAAGGGCAGGGTGAGGTGGGAGCTGGGAAAGCTCATTCCCAACACTTTGGGGCCTCTCTCCAGCAGCTCCAGGTGCTTGGGAAGAGCTGGGAT